AAAAATATTTTTTTTTATGCACATTTCTAAAAATCGAATGCTTCCATCGGCGTTGAGTTCATGCACATATCACACTTTTCCACTGAGGTTTGCAAAATTTGTATTAAAATAGTTGGATAGAAACCCAGCAGCTAATGTCAAAATGGATGCATTGAATCTTGCCAAGTTTGAACATGCACAAATGCAAGATTTCAGAGTTGGGATGGAGGGAAAGATTTTCAGTCAGTAACTTAGTTCAACCAAAAATGAAAACCACTGCAGTCACTTGGATTACTTTTATGATTCCTTTAATTACCTTTTTGAAGCTTGAAAGTGTTGGTCGAATAGAATTCAATGGAGGTTTCATTAAAAATATCTTCATTTGTCTTTCGAAGAAAGAAAGAAAGTCATACAAATGTGGAATGACTCAAGTGAATTTTCTGTTTTAATTGAGCTTCAGTCTGTTCCTCACACAAAGCTATCATATTTCTTCAGAAGATTTAAAATACAGTGCATTATTCATATAGACTTTATTTTGTGCTTTTTAGAGCCTGACAGCCTCAGGATTTAAAACATCGGCTTATACAGTCTACTTCATTTTTGTGTTCAACTGAAGAAAGAAACCCATTCGGGTTTGGAACGTGAGGTTGAGTAAATGATGACAGAATTGTCCCTTTAAAATCAAAATAGTTCAGATTGGAAAAGATCAGTCTCCATTTTAATGTGTCATAGCTGGTTGTTACTGTTTTTAACCACCCACATTTGTCCATTTATGTGTGCTGTTTTGCTTTCTTGCCTTCCAATGAAGACACTAAGAAACATAAGTTCAAACAAATGTGTCTTGTGCAACATGCTGCTTTTATTTGGCAAATACAATGCTTCTTTTACGGTAGATTTTAAGTGCCCCGAGTTTCAAAGGGGATGTTTCAGGTTTTGATTTACTGATCAGAAAACCTTCTGATCAGTAATACAGTTGTTTTGTGTTTTAGGTTTAAAGTGTCCTTTTTCTCTTCATGTACATGCTTCGGTGAAGCTTTTGTGGTATCAAAAGAAACGAGTGAAATAAGAATGGAATTAATGAATGAATGATTGAATGCTGTTTTTGTATTTAAAGTCCGCTTTTGTTTTACGTTCATCATCGGTCTCACCGGGTCTCTGTGGGGCGTAAACACCAGTCTTAATCTGGAAGTTTGAGACCCATTGAACCAGAGCCTTTTGTAGGGCCGACGGGCAGCAACAGATGACACATGATGGCACAATAAAGATGTGAAATCAAGTCACGTTGTCATGTTTTATTTATTTGTTGACTGGGAAAATTTGCAGAATTTACACACGATTCACATTTGACTAAATCATTGATTCCCACTAAATGTGTAGATGTACACCAGTCAAACATTTGAGAACTTTTTTTTTTTTAAGCAGTATCAACATTAAACATTACATTACTGTAATTTTAGTCATTTGTGATGTAAAGCTGAATTCTCAGCATCATTACTCCAGTCTTCAGTGTCACATGATCCTTCAGAAATCATTGAAATATTATTATTTGCTGCTCAACAAACATTTCTTATTATTATCAAAGTTGAAGACCGTTGTGCCAATTCACATTTTTTATGGAAACCCGAATACATTTTTTTTCAGGATTCTTGGATGAATAGAAAGTTGAAAAGAAGAGCTCCAGAACACAGCAAGTATTAGTACCGTTTAAATGGCAAGTTACTGGAGAATTTAAATTTAAAATGGTTTTAAAACCAATAATTCCATTACTACTCTTCTGTATATTTTTCAAATGATATGCTTTAATATAGTTTAAAATAGTTAAAGGTCACTGAAATATTATATTTCTCTCTCTCTCTTGTTTAAAGGGGTCATATGATGTTGCTAAAAAGAACATTATTTTGTGTATTTGGTGTAATGAAATGGGTTGCGTTGCATTGCATCACGCCGCGTAAAAATAAAACTCTGTCTGCATTTGTGATCGGAGAAATGACAAACAACAAGTGCTACTCTACACTGCTCAAAACTCGCGTTTGAATCGTCAGTGGCAAATCCTTTAAATGAAAACGTACTTACGTGAGTCAGAACTGCCGGCATTTTAGTCTAACGTTACTCTCCCAGGATCAGTAAACAGTCCTCCATAAAATGCGCTGCACACATCTGGATATTTGGGTTGAACTGTTCTGGAACAGTGTTGTAAATACAACTTAACCACTGATTTGTGGTCTCTTTTGGAAGACCAAAACACATGAAGCACACAGCGTCTTCAGGACATGGCGGCAGCAACAATACAGCGAGAATAAAAGTTACGCCTTCTTTCTTTGCGTGAACATTTGGGCGGCGTTATGCAAATCTTCCCACATCGTGAAGTAGATATGTGGGGGCGTGTTAGAACGAGCCGTTTTAGGTAGGCGTGGTTGACTCTTAACTTTTATAAAGAATATCTCTTTGGATTTGAGACTTTAGTCTTTGCAACTTTACAGATCTTCTTTATGCACCAAGAGCTTGTAACACTCCAAAGAGAAAGGAAAAATTGAAATCGCATCATATGACCCCTTTAAACAAGATTCTGAGTTTTAAATCATTTCACTACATTGGTTTGAGTGGATGTAATCAGGTGTTATGTTATAGCTTTCAACATGAAAAACTGATCATTATACTGAACAATATTCCAAATGTAAAAACCACAGATTTATAATACCTGAATAAAGTGAGGTGAGAATAAGCTAGTTTGTGTCTTTATATGTATTAACTATATTACAGGTTTTTAAACCGTTAACTTTTTAATGTTGTATTAGCTAACACCTTTGTCTTGTATTGTGTTTAGTAAGATCATCTGCTTAAATCTATTGCAGATACAGATATTCATACATGCGTATAATAACTACAGTTGCAGATGCGCAGTCAGCTTGCTCTTGAGTGTTTAACGGACCAGGTTTGACTGTTACCGTTCCAAACTTCCAATATGGCGGTCGGTTTACATATAGTGGCCCATTGAAACAGCCACTAATGAGGCATCTATGTATATGCATCCAAGGTGATTTAGTAAGAAAACTGCACAGATGTTAGCAACAAAGTTCAGGGTTGTTTGTGTCACTATAAACCTCCATCCTGTTTGATTTAACTACAGAAATCTGTATGATTATATCTTATATGTGGTTAATGCCACAGTGAACTTAAAGTTTGCACTCTCATGCAAGCTAACTGTCAGTCCCTCACTTAGCAATGGCTAACCTGCATTTCCATAATGTAAATAATAAGGTTATATTGAATAAAGTGTGTGTGAGTTTGAGCAAAGCATCCTACACTATAACAAAAGTGTATTCATTTGTAAAAGCTTTATAGTTCAGAAGGTTCAACAGAGCAGGAATGACCCAAAACATTTGGTCACAGTGAGCACAGTTGTGTACAGCACAATCTTCATGAACACATGCATGCCACAGGAAGCACTGCTGTTAAATATTTAACAGCGTAAACTTCATCAGGTTATAAGACTCGCTGGCATGAGTCACCGTTGCACATCAGAGACAAGACAAGGTAAAAGAGACATCTCTGAGATGAGCGAGAGAGGAAAAGTCTCAATGACTGTCAAAGATCTGCTGTTGAGAAGCACCTCACACATGGAGCTGATGATGGAGAACACTTCAGACCTGGAGCCGGTGGAGCAGGGAGAGCCCGCTTATCCTGACAGCGCATACGGCTCCTCTCCAGTGGACACAGACACAGAGGAGGGAATCACACTGTCCAGCAGCACTCTCATCCTCACATACAACGAGGAGCTCATGCATAAGGTGACCACAGCTATCCTCATATCTATCTATCTATCTGTCTGTCTGTCTGTCTGTTTGTATGTCTGTCCCCCTGTCCATTCATCCGCCCATCCGCCCATCTGTCTGTCTGTCTGTCTGTCGGTCGGTCGGTCCCCCTGTCCATCCACCCGTCCGTCATCTATCTATCTGTCTATCTGTCTGTCTGTCTGTCCCCCTGTCCATTCATCCATCCATCCGTCCGTCCGTCTGTCTGTCCATCGTTCCATCCATCTATCTATCTATCTATCTATCTATCTATCTATCTGTCTGTTTGTATGTCTGTCCCCCTGTCCATCCACCCGTCCGTCATCTATCTATCTGTCTGTCCGTCTGTCTGTCTGTCCCCCTGTCCATCCATCCGTCCGTCCGTCTATCTGTCTGTCTGTCCCCATGTCCATCCATCCGTCCATCCATCTGTCTGTCTGTCTGTCTGTCTGTCTGTCTGTCTGTCTGTCTGTCTGTCTGTCTGTCTGTCTGTCTGTCTGTCTGTCTGTCTGTCTGTCTGT